ACAATTGTTACAAATCAATATTATGGCTTGGTATGATAAGCTTGTGGCATGGGAGCTGAGCCTTCATGAGTTTAGCATTAAAGAGAGAGAGAGAGCTTGGATTTCCTATGGAAACAAGCAATGGGAAGAGAGAAATTTAGGGGGATTTTGACTAAGGAAGAGAGGGAGAGATGGAAATAGAGAATGGGGTGTCTTGAGTAAATTTTCAGTTGCTTGACAAGAGCTTGGTCGCACTTCTGGATCGTGTATTTGTTGGGTAGAAGGTGCCTACTTTTATCGGCGCTGGAACAAGCCTTTTTCTTTCTTTCCCTTCACTTTCTTCCATTTCAACCTCATTTGGTGAAACTTCCTTAGCCTGTGCACCTAGGCACGAAGCCTTTTTGGGGTTCCAACATCTTCAAGCAGCTGGATTTCTTTATGTGGGTGGGGCACCAACCACTTTACTCTCTGGTTTTCCTATTTGAGCTTGCAGAAGAAAGGAACACGGGTAGGGGCGTTAGTCTAATGGGTATTCCTCATGCGCATATGATTTTCCTTTGGTTTTTGTAGTGGCTTACCATTTGACTTGGTTCTAAGGCCTTTAACAACACTAGATACGGTGCTAGATATTTTATAAGCCTTTGGGCTATGCTTTTTCTAAGGTATTAGGTTATTAGCATTCTATTTCCAATGGCCTATGAGTTCGTCAAGCTGCTAGAGTAGCTTATTTGCTTTGTTTTTTGACAAGGTGCTGGATGTCTCAATTGATGTAGGATTTTTCTAAGTGTTGCAGATCATTGGATATTCTCATAAGGCATTGGGTCACTTTTCTCTCTCTCATGCTTACTCATGTGTTTGGGCTCAAGAAATTGGCTTGAGTTTAGTGCTCCCAAGTAGCCCAAAACTTCCATTCCTTGAACCTTTATTGGGCCTCATGAATACTCGTAACTATTCATACCACAACTCGCTCAGCAAGCCTACGGCATTCGCGTGGTTTTGGCCCACTTAAGCTTGTAGCGTGGCTTGGTGCCAAAATAAAGGTTTTTTGCTTGGCGTTGGACATTACTTGGCATGTTATAGCCGGGCTAAACGGTGCTTGACGGGTTAGTAAGCGCGAGTTCATAGAACCAATACATTTTACAGGCTCGTTACGACCTCTCTGCATGGCGGGTTGCGTGTTTTCTTGGCATGGGATGTGGAACATAACTTGCGTAAGCGCATACGACAAATTCTTACATACCCAAGTCAAGCTTCTTTCCTAGTTAAGTGTTGTATTGGGCAAGAAATATATTTGGGCCCAACCTTGGATTTTTTGGGCATCAACACGAGTATTGGGGCTTAGGCTTCGACTAATTCACTGAATTGAGTTCAACTTGACTGCAATCAACTTCATGCTTCCTTCTCTTCATTGCCAAAAATCCAAAAAATCTCGACATTTGCTAAGCTTAAACAATGCCCATTTTCACAATTTTCACACCCTCCAAATCCATTGCAGCTTTTGATTCTCTCCTAGCAAACATAAGAAGACACAACTCTTCCTATTTTCTCCTAAACCTACAACTTTCTCTATATGCCTTATTTCATTTGGTACATTTCTAGCTCATTTCTAAACACAAAAAAATGTCTAGGTGGGAAAACACAATGAGAGAAGATAGATACAAGCATGAAAAGAAAAACTCATCTTACAAAATTTACATTTCAATTGACGAGGGTGAGCCCAAAAGAGAAGACAAATGAATGAAGAAGAACGTTAGCCAAAATAGGAAGGGGTTTTCAATTTGGGGTTGTTTTGGGGATGGTTTACAACATATTTGTGACAGAAGATGGATTTCAGAAAGTTGGACCCTAAAACTAACATAAAAAGACCCATTTACCCTTATATTTAATAGAAAACTTAACACAACAGACGACATGACTTTTATTACTAACGAAAGTAGAGTTTAAGGGCCACTGCAACTATTTTGGAAATTGAAAGACGAAGATGCGGATCGGACTAAAGTTTAGTAACTGTTTTACCTAAAAATCCAAGAATTTAATAACTAAATATAAGCATAGGTAGGAGAATTTATCAAAAATAGCCAAAACTTGACCCTTAATTTCAAAAATGTCAGTTTTTGTAAAAAATTTCAAATATAGCAGAAAACTCATATAAATAGACACAAACGCCCTCAAATTTAAAACCAACATAAACCTATAAAAAAAAAACCTTATTAAATAAAACTTTGGAATATTTTCTTCAAACACTTTTCCAATCACCTCTCCATTTCTTTTTCATTTCTTTTTTCTTTCTTCTTCCGTTTGTCTCTAGCATCACTCCCTCTCTTTTCCTTTTCTTTTTTTCTTTCTTCTTCTCTCCATCTCTCTTTCCCCTTCTTCCATATGCATATCTCTTCTTCTTCTTCTTCTTCTTCTCCCCCATTTGTCTCCAAATGAAATGTATGTATTTGGCAACAACAAAAAGTATTTAGAACCAAAAATTCAGAAAATGATTGAATCAGTGCACAAGTATAATTTCCTCCTCCCACTCCAAAAAAAAAAATTAAATAAATAAAAATTCACGTAACTTTAATTCTTCAAAAATTGTCACACATTTAGAGGTAGTTTGTATAACAAAAAATTCAATAAAACGATCCAGATTAAACAAAACAAAATAATAAAAAAAAACTTAAATATTCATTCATTACAATTCATAAAGTTAAAAAGAAAAATATAACACCACATTGTCTATGAGGTAGGATGAAGTGCAATCGGATTTTTGCAAGTTTGTCGATAATGGCCAGTTGAACCACATCGTGAACACTTACGTGTTGATGGTTATTCTCCTCGTGATGGGATTCTCTTTTCCTTACGTCTGCCATGCCTTCTTCATGTAATTGGTGGTAGCACAATTCTATCTCATACATCATCAGACACCACCCAATCTGTTTGATCCCCAACTGGCCATATAGGTTATGCATACACAATTACCAATGAGTTTGTAGTATAATATTTTGAACACATTGGGTAGCACAAAATTTGTCGGTGCCTACATGCAGCACAAGCATGTGCACATGGTAGTTGGTCAAGATCAAATTCTCGACATGTGCAACACTTCCCCTCTAAATTTACAACTTCAACACAACCTCCATCGTATACATGAAATGAGTATGCCTCAATAGGAGAAACCTGTATATTCAAGAAAAATGAAATACGGTATAAATACTCCCCAACCATTTTATTGGAAATCTTTTCAACAAATTTGTTCCTTAAACAAAAGAACAAATGAATTCAATAATTTTTTTAATTGAATGATTTGCCCATTAATATTACTAACTTTTCTTAATTGAAGTTAGATCATAATTGAAAAGGCAACCACCCTTGCCAAAGATGTTAAATCATAATTGAAGTGGGAGGAAAGTCGGTTATTCCTATTATTGATCCATTAATTCTGTTAACCATAACTACGACTTACATTTTTATCTTGAAGGGCTTGCCAGATTATTCATCTCATATAACACAGATGAACTCACGGGAGACCAAAATTCGTTTACATGCAGATTCTTGAAGGGTAAAAGACAAATTTTCTATATAGCTATGTGAACAGGAACGTAATTGGTAAGTATCTGATTAAGCACAAATCCCTTTGATGTAGTGCCTCATCGCAATTGAATCATCATATTACCAAACTCAATAATTTTCCAAGCCTATATGCACTAACCTTTGATGTAGGCTCAAAGTGAATTGATGATATTAAATCATAGCACTTTGGATATGGCTCAAGAGTTAAGTCAGTAAAACCAGAATTGAAATTTTATAAATATAGATGAAGAATAAACGAAGAAACAAAGAAGAAATTGATGAAGAACCAAGGAAGCAAAACCATAATTGAAATTTTATAATATAGATGAAGAATAAATAAAGAAACGAAGAACCAAGGAAGAATTGCACTCACCGTTTGACTATGGCAGCAATACGTCTACAACAAACTCTACGTACAAAGATTCCCAATCTAATAGGGTTTTCTTTTTGGCTTAATTATGTACATGCCCCCTGTGCTTTCCAACTTATCTCAGATTACCACATATGTTTGCAAACGGCTCAAAGTACCCCCCAACGTTTAAAAAACCGTCTCACGTTACCCTTTCCGTCAGTTTTTTTGAAGTTCCGTTACGAACGTTATTGTTCATCCCTCCCAAAATTCCAGAACAACAACTCATCCCCTTTGTTATTGTTCATCCGACCAGTTTTTGGGCTGCCATCTCCTCTTCCAGCCACCCCAAGCGACGACATGGGTATCAAAAGAACCAGCACGTTGTCCTCTACCACCCTCACATCTCATCCGCTACCAACCGCCGTCTGGATCGCCGAAAAAAGCAAGAAATTTACCGATTTTTACCCAAAATCTCCATCGCTCGTTTGGACGATTCCGGGCAGCATTTGCTTCGATCCAGGTATGGTTTTTCAACCTCTCGAGCTGTTCTTGCTGCTAGTTGTGTTGGTTATGAGAAATTTCTGAGTTTTGAAGGGTAAATAAGCGATGAACAGTAACAAATGGGATGGGCTGCTGTTTTGGAATTTTGTGGGGGATGAACAGTAACTTTCGTAACGGAACTTCAAAAAAACTGACGGAAAGGGTAATATGAGACGGTTTTTTAAATTTTGAGGGGTACTTTGAGCAGTTTACAAATGCAGGTGGTAATCTGAGATAAGTTGGAAAGCACATGGGGTATGTACATAATTAAGCCTTTCTTTTTTAGGTTTATGTGGGTTTAAATTTTGAGAGTATTTGTGTCTATTTAGGTGAATTTTCTGCTAAATTTGAAATTTTTTACAAAAACTGACATTTTTTAAATTAGGAGTCAAGTTTTGGCTATTTTTGATAAATTCTCAGCGTATATAATAATCCGGTTTGTTATAATCCTAACCGTTGGTTGTAAGGAACGGCCAAGATTAGCTTATGACTAACAAAGTTAATGGTAGAATTCCTCCGTAAGGGCTGGCTGGGGGCTGTAAAAATTGCTTCTCCTAAAATCCCATTATTAATTCCCAATTCCATTTCCACCACGAAGGCCTCTAGTCCCGTAGTCATGGCCACAGAAGAAATAGTTTTGGAAGAAGAAGAAGAAGGAGAGAAGGAAAGAATGGTTACGTTGGGATCCTACAAAGGGATGGTTAGGCTGCTGAGGGTGAAAGCAGAACAAGAGGAGGAGGAAGAAGAAGAAGAAGAAGAATTGGACTCATTTGCTGCTACCGCAGCTTCAGAGGAGATAATGCTGCTGTGGGGAATGCAACAGCCAACTCTCTCCAAACCAAACGCATTCGTTTCTCAGTCTTCTCTTCAACTGAAACTCGATGTCTGTGGTCACTCACTCTCCATTTTCCAGTCCCCTTCTTCTTTGGTATCTATTATTTATTTTTTTTGCTTGTCTTTCTACAATAATTTTAATTTACCATTCAACTATTTCAATGCTTGTTGCTTTATGTCATTTGCATGCTTCTTGTCTAGTTAATGAAAAACTTGGTTTTCAGTGTGACCTAGACTTCTTGAAAGCTAAAAAAATAGCAAAATAGCATTCTAGATACGTAGATAGAAAGAAGTATAAGAAGAAATCTTCCTAATAGAAATCCGGACGCTTTATTACTTAATGTTGTAGCTAGTTTCTGGAAACAAATATTTGTTTTCCCCAGTCATTATGGAGATTATGGCTGGGAGAAAATGTATGATTGCTGACTTCTGGGCCACAGAGGTAACTATGGCTGGGAGAAATGTATACTTCCATGCCAAAATACCAATATAGAGCTTTTATGAAATTACTTTTCATTACTTGAGAGTCCCTGTACCTTGCCTTTGATTAATAAAGATAAAAAGTCAAACCGAGTTTCCATTTTTAAATACTAGAATATAAAACCTAGTATGGAAATTTAATAGATTTTGAAGTTCTTGGGGTGCACAAGGTAAGCCTATATAAACCGCTGACAATTTCATGACTTGGAGACAGCTTTCATTACGTGCTGTAAAACGCGTACCCCCATTGTGCCACATTTTGCGGTAGGTATGCATTCCGTTGTGCTCCCAATCCTGTGACTTATACAATTGAATGTTAGTTCAACAGTAATATTGTTCCGAGCTTGAGATGAAATTCAATACCTAGCTGAGAAATGAGAAGCAATTAAAGAAGAAATACATTGATGAGGCTACAGGTGTGATGTTGTGGCAGGTTGGATTCTTTTCCCCTTGACAGTTAAACACAGGTAGTACTTGGTGGCACCATCCTTCTATGTCAACGGGAAGAGCACATCATAAAGCTTCTCGATTAAGTGGAAGCATGTGCAATAAAACTAGATGACATTAGACCCATTGTAGTGTCTAGAGTGCTCATCCGCATGTATCTGAAAATAAAGAGTGAAGTTTTGGTAGCGTTACATAATAGTCAGGAGCATGAAGCATTGCTTGACCATGATAGGGAAGGTAGTATGCCCATTGGCTATGACATCTACAGGATCAAAGGCTGCTGACATAATCTTTTATAATGAGTTATATGGACTGAATGTGTGAATATTGTAATGCAGAAGTGTTGGACTATCTATAGTACCATGTTATGATGGGGCACAACCTTTTTCGAAACTTAGCTGCAGGTTATCATAAAACTAAAGAAAGGAATAAAGAGCCTGGCTTACTGTTACTGTTATCAAGTAAGATGGGCAACTGGAAAGTGTCTTGCAGTTTACATATTAGAATGCAGCAGAAAAACAATGCCAGTGAGGGTCATTGTTAAAAAATGTATGTATTTATAAAAAAAAAAACCCTAAATAAATGAAGATGTGCTTTAATTTTGTTGTGGCATACAGATGCAATATAAAGACCAATCCTTTTTTGGTGCTTTCCAACATCTGTTATTTTTTTTTCCAGAGGATTAGATGATTGTATCAGAATAGATTTTGATTGAATGAATTTTAAAGCTTCCACCATCGTCACATCCCACTCACTTTTAAGTTTTTTAACCTTCTAGAATTTTCGATGTTTATTCAAATTTTTCTTGAATAATTTAACTTATTGAACTGTAGAGCACACCTGGAGTAACTGGTGCTGTCATGTGGGACAGTGGAGTTATATTGGGGAAGTTTCTAGAGCATGCTTCGGACTCAGAGTTGCTACTTCTTCAAGGCAAGAAAGTTGTTGAATTGGGCTCTGGCTGTGGATTAGTCGGGTAATTATAAGTACAATCACTTTCTTTACATGTATCTTTTTTTGTTCTCTAATTTCTGTCAGAAAATATTTCATATGCTAGAATATCTAACCGGACTGTTCTATCAGTACTTTCTATTATTACACTAGCTTTTGAATGGGTAAAATTTGAAGCTTGTACTGTTAGATCACCTTATCCAACAGAACTCTACTTGTTTGCAGTTTGGGTTGATTGATAGGCCATGCTAACAAGATACAATTGACATTTATATGCCTACCCCCATGAAAACATAAATCTGAATTTTGGCTTGAGTTTCTAATTTATATGCCAGGCTGAAATAATGGTTCTCTTACTTGCTGTATGCTATCTTTCTTTTCTTCTTCCTTTTTCTTCCAGCTGCATTGCAGCTCTTCTAGGTGGTCAAGTTGTCCTCACAGATCTTCCTGATAGACTCAGACTACTGAGAAAGAATATTGAAGTCAATCTGAGACATGAAGATATGCGAGGTTCAGCAAAAGTGATGGAATTCATATGGGGAGATGATCCTGACCTGGAACTGACAGAACCTCCACCTGATGTTGGTAATATGTTGGTTCTCTCCTATAGAGCAGCAACATGTACTATTTCCCTTGAAGTGCGGCACATCAAATCTTGGATGGTTAATTGTTAATTAAAAAAGTTACCAAATTGGAGAAGAAAAAAAAACAGAGAGAAAAACCTCTTGCAAAATGGGACACATTTTGATGGCAAAAACTTTTGTAAAAGTCCAACTGAGATTTATCTGTTCTAGAATCAAATTTGAAATTGTCTTAATCCAAGCATGATTTCGAGTGCTAAAGCATAATAACCTCTCTTAGAATACCCAAAGGGTAGTTGAATCATTGAGGATTCTGTCATCAAGTACTTATAGCATAAAGGCATATTCCTTTCTATGGTAAGTGGTAGGAGCAGCTTTTGTATTTTATGAGAAAAAAATTGGTATCTTCATTGCATTCTCTTACATGACAGCATCTCTATGGTACGCCAAAAGTCGTCTTAGTTTACTGCATGCTCCACTGCTCATTGATTATAGTAATGAACCTGGATTTGAATGCTTTGAGACAAGAATCAATCTCATGTCATTTGATGTTCTTTATTTTTAGGTCAAAGTGCTATTGAATAGTATCAATACTCAAAACCAAATTTTGTTAAAGTTGCATTTTTACCAAAATGTTATTCCAGTGCTAGGTTCTGATGTAATCTATAGTGAGGGAGCAGTTTTGGATTTGCTGTCTACGCTGCGGCAACTCTGTGGAGGTGAAACAACAATCTTTTTGGCTGGAGAACTTCGAAATGGTAATAATTGCCTTTTATATTATTTGAATGTCCTTTTTCTGTAGTGTACTCAAATTCTACTTCCTACTGCAGATGCTGTCCTTGAATACTTCTTAGAGTGCGCAATGAAGGATTTTGTAATTGGGCGTTTGGACCAAAGACAATGGCATCCGGACTATTGCAGCAGTCGTGTTGTTTTGTATGTTCTCGTCAAGAAGTGATAGTTGGGGGAAATGATCAATGGGTAATTCATAACCAATACAAGTTCAATCATAAATGGTCATGTAATTCACTTTCATTGACCTGTATTCATGAAAAAGAGAGGAAAGCCCTTAAGTTGTGGCCTGTATTCATCTCTTTTAGTCTCAGTTTTGTGTGATGCCATGCCAGAAGAGAAGAGAATGCTTCAATTTTGGAATCAAACTTTTGTTACATTTCTTCTTTTTAACTTGTTTGAGACAGAGAAATATGATGCAGGAATTGGATAATGGTTGGTAAATTCTACTCACCAGTCAGTCACCAACCATAGCTTCCCTAACTCTCTAAATCTTTTTGATTGGTGTCTATAGAGTATGGGTAGAATCTGTGTCTTGCCGGAGTTGTTAGCCTGTCTTGCACTTGCATTTCGTAATCCCTTCTTCATATTCTCCTTGATGATATGATATGCAGTGCAAAGGTGCCTTACGAACGGCTACCAACCCAATAATAAAAGGAATTAATTAATGAATAATGTAATTTAGAATAAAATCCAGTCGCCAATATTTTTGTGCGTATAGAAATAAAATTTATTTTCATTATTCGATCATCCAAACTCAAACTAAAACACTTTCACATTTTAACGGTACTTTTGTTTCCAATTCCAATGTTGAATGAGATGTCTCAAATTCCAGTACCTGATTTTTTATTTTTTATTTTTTATTTTTTATTTTTTATTTTTATTTAAGAAGAAAAACAAGGTGGAGTGGAGCGTCCGGTAAAAGACAGCCTATCCCGATGCAACGGTTAGGTGAAGAAAACCTTTACCCACCAACCCCCGCCTTTGTACAGACTACAACTTGTAAAGAGGAGAGAGTCTAAAGACAATTGCTTTGCTCGCTCACTCCAGCCAACCTCGTCGTCTCCCTCGTTCTGGTTCTTCTTTGTTGATTGTTCGCTGTCTGTCTGTCTTGTCTTCGGAATATTAATTCAGGAAAGACAAGCTTTGCGCAGCAAATGCAAATGTCATTGCCTTGCGTAAAACAACCCGATGTCATCACCTGCAAAGGTATGTATGTTATTTCTACAATGCATGCTTGCTGCAATCTTCACATTCACAGTATGAATATGGAATTTGCTTCTAATTATAGTTATTAATCATGTATTATTTTGCTTTTAAAAAAAAATTGTAAAAGCTGCGGTGGCATGGGGAGCTGGAAAGCCTTTAGTGATAGAGGAAGTGAATGTGAATCCACCTCAGGCAATGGAGATAAGGATCAAAGTCGTCTGCACCTCTCTCTGTCGCAGTGACATCACTGCCTGGGAGTCTCAGGTAATCTCCTCTTCTTATTTTGTCCTACTCTTTTCCCCCTTTCTTTTCTTCTTCTTTTCAACACAAATAGAGATAAAACAATATTACTTTTCCTTCAATTATTTTTTTCTTGTTTCCTACTTATTGAACATCTAGGAAAATAATCATTATCTGGCTTGGAAAATTCATTTAACTATTACTTATGGTTTCTATCTGACCAAGAAAAATTAAAATTTTGTTTGTGCCACTGCCAGAAATGCTTTCTTTCCGGATGGATTAATTTTCTTGTAAAACAATTGTTCAAGATTAATCATTAAAGTAACTGAGAAGAAGTAAACCTTGGTTTAAAGTAATGAACTTATCCATGAATTAATATCCTGTTTAAAATTTTCGAAATTCAGACCTATCAAGAGCTAAGTATCAACTGACTATTCATCTTACTGAAAAAAGTTATGTATGTTGATACCAAAAATATGATTATTTATGGATACCCCTTGATGGTTACTGAACATGGATTCTCCTTAAAGAGCATCTTCTACCTTCTCCCTCACATCATCACATGAAGCAGGAGAATACTCGTATTTCATCCACACCGCCGTTCTTTCAATGCAGTTATACTTCCTTGATAAGAACTTAGGAAAAAGGGTGCTGAATTTGTTCATGAGAATTCTGGTATTTCATCTTACTCAATTTCCCCCCTGTTATTTTGCAGGCTATTTTTCCTCGAATATTTGGCCATGAAGCAACAGGGTAAGTTATTTCCCTATTTTTTTCATCTGCTTAAGATTGAGAAACTATAGCATAATGCACAAATGGTTTCCAATTATCAGGCCATAAAATTGTTTAGTCAATTTCTTAGTTAATTTTTTATATTCTAGATGTATGCCTTGCTTGTAACATGTGTTGAGCTAAATTGGCCCTTCCATTGGATGCTCAGGTTTGGGTTAGAGGTGATACTTGAGGTATAGAAGTGAGGACAATGCTTGGCTCCTCACTGGTGAGGAAGAACTTTTTCCTTCCTACTGAGGTGTCACACTCACCATTTTCTCCTATTATCTTTGCAACATTAAATGATTATAGTTAACAACAATTTAATATGGTACTCCCCACCATTTTCAACAATTCATGCTTTTAAATTGGTGATTACCTTCATCCACACTGGTGAAGAGCCAGGCATTGTTCTAGGAGTGATACAATCAGAGTATGTGGAAGATATCCACGCTATACTGAACTGTTGCTCTTGTGATACACTACAGCACCAAAACTTATTTCCTTAGGTTTGAAGTAAAGGACAGTTTCACTTATATAAGAAATACAAAAAGGCATAGAGAAAATATCAATAAGCTTTGAATGGTTTGTAGGGTGAGGATGATCAACTACTCCACACTGCTGTGATATTATATTATTATTGCTAATTTGCTATACTTCTTTAGGTGATATAAGTTCCCAATAGCTATTTTTCAGGATTGTCGAGAGTGTTGGGCAGGGAGTTACTGAGTTTACTGAAGGGGACCATGTGCTAACAGTCTTCATTGGAGAGTGCGGGAAATGCAGGCAATGCACATCAGGTAAAAGCAACATATGTGAAGTACTGGGGCTGGAAAGGAGAGGTGTAATGCACTGTGATCAGAGGACACGCTTCTCCATAAATGGGAAGCCCATTTATCATTATTGTGCAGTTTCAAGTTTCAGTGAATATACGGTGGTGCACTCGGGATGTGCTGTCAAAATCAGCTCAGTTGTGCCTCTGGAAAAAGTATGCCTTCTCAGTTGTGGAGTAGCTGCAGGTAGAGTTTCAAATCTTGATATTGCCATCAAATCACATGATACCATGACCATTTATTCTATCCTTTCACTGTATTTATGTAAATACATGCATATGATAAATGCATACATACATATATAGCTCAGATATGCTATACAGGTGTTGCTAGAAATTATTGGTATTGGGTAGAAGTTTCTTTGCGGTGACCAAACTAAATGAACTGAAAATAGAAGTTTAAATACTAGAATGTGAATGAGAATCAAATAGTAATGGGAGCATAAAAAAGCTAAAGCACAAATAATCACTGATGTTTGTAATATTGCACTTGCCCTGCACATTGGTGTATAATTTGGTTCGCATATGCAAGTCGGTGTTTGTCTGTGTTCATGTTGTAATAGAGGAATGAATTTTCCGTTCATGATAAGTTTCTTCACAATTAAAATGCAAGGAATAATATAAAAAGGCGTCCTTTGTTTTGGAGGTGATGGGGGATAGGAAGGAGCAGAAGAAAAGGAATCTGAAAGCCCTCACATGCCCCTGCACTTAGTCACATACATATGTAATTGCAATTCTTGATCAAGGAAAAACTTTGCTGACATATGTTGACATATTTTTAGGCTTGGGTGCAGCTTGGAATGTTGCTGATATATCTAATGGATCCAGTGTGGTGATATTTGGTCTTGGGACCGTAGGCCTTTCTGTAAGTGCAGAGACTTGTTAACAGTTTTCACTTTTCAAATATGACAGCGGCATGACTTAAACAGTAATGATTTCTTGTATGATAGGTTGCACAGGGTGCTAAGCTTAGGGGAGCATCTCAAATAATTGGTGTTGACACTAATCCTGAAAAGGGTGAAAATGGTATTTTCTTTTTTTTTCTTTCTTTTTTTCTCTTTTTCTGTCTGGAGTTCTATGGTACAAGTCCCTAATGTATTTGTTGGTAAGTAAGTGCTCTCATTTGTACAGCAAAAGCTTTTGGAATTACAGCATTTATCAACCCTCATGACAGCAAAGATCCTATTCAACAGGTAATGTTGAAATAAACAGAAACAACCATACTCCCCGGCCGCCCTCCCAAGTGAAATTTATTATGAAAGAAATAAAAAGAATTAAATAGCCAGCATAACTGATGATTTGGTGGTAAATTGAATGAGGTGATTGGAATTTCTATCTCATTGGTGATATAGTGAATCTTATAATGCAACAGTGATATGTGTAAGGAATCATGATGAATGAACTTGAAGTCATTTAGTTTGAAATTTACATATAAGCTAACTTTCTTTCAGGTTATTAAGAATCTGACAGGTGGAGGGGCCGATTACTCATTTGAATGTATAGGTGACACTGGAATGGTAACTACTGCTTTGCAGGCATGTTGCGATGTAAATTTCTCATATCTCAGTGTTTTTCTTTTTCCCCCAAGCCTATCTCATATTTATTTTTGTGTATGAGATGAGTTCTTATTTATTGAACTTCACTCATTTGTATCTGGCGGTTCTTTGAAGGGATGGGGGTTGACAGTTACACTTGGTGTGCCAAAAGTGAAGCCGGAGGTAACAGCTCATTATGGAATATTTCTTACTGGAAGAACGTTGAAGGGATCTCTATTTGGAGGATGGAAACCTAAATCTGATCTACCTTCATTAGTAGATATGTACACAAAAAAGGTAATACTTACTCAAACTTCATTGAAGCTTCAATAAGTCCAATCTCCCTTCTAATATTAAGTGTCCTTTTCCCTCCCATTGTTGTAAAATTTAGTTTGTCCTCATGTAGCTGGAAAATCTACTGACAATGTTTAGTCCTAGTTACAAGAATGCGATAAGGCATGCCCAAACAATTTATCATGTCTTAGTTTGATAAATGTCTAATGTACAACTTATCAAATCATCTTGTTTGAAGTAGTCGGGTTATAATCTGAATTTCGCTTAGTATCAAATTCTTAGGTTGAATTTATAAACCATCTAGAACAAGTTCCTCCTAATCCTTCTCACTGCTATTTCTTCTGTGTTAAACTATTTCTTTCTTCAGCTTTAAAGGCGTGTGCTAAGAAAGCATGCCAATTTGCAGCCAGTATGATGCTAAATTCTTTTGTTTTATTTCATGTTAACAGTTGATCTCTGTTTTAAACAGCTAACATGTTCCCATTGACCGATCATGATTATTCTTCTAGTTTAAGAAAAAAATACTTGTTACATTTTTTAATCCACAAAATAAAATGCACAGCCTGTTTGAATTCCAAAAAATCTTCCTGCAGGAAATCCAAGTCGATGAGTACATAACACATAACCTGCCATTTGAAGATGTCAACAAAGCTTTCAATCTCATGAGAGAAGGGAAGTGTTTGCGTTGTGTAATCCACATGGCAAAGTAATTTCTCTTCTTCTGTCTTGCCTCGATACACGTGAGAGAGTTAATTGTACAATATTGTTCTGATAAAATAAAGTGAGTTTCATCTGAATTCTGAAAGTGGGTATTTATGGAGTAGGATTATCTGTGGGCAATCTACTGGAAGCTCAAGCCTATCTCACATAACCCACCGTACTACTTGTTTGTTACTATGTTAAAACTGTTCTTAAAGTACTTATGGGCATGTACACTAGCATTCTATGGGATTTGGGAAGACAGTTTTAATTCAATCTTCTTGGTCATACGTGCAACGTGTTTGATGGTCAAATTAACATGAGAGAGAGATTCCTTTCCTCTTTTTTTGTTAAGTAGAAGCGATAGTCTAAATTAGAGAGGAGGGGGATTTCTCAGACACCCACACATAGATGATGTCATGGGGGTTCGAACCTGTGACCTATGATCTGCAAGTCAATATCATTTTCCATTGGGCTAGACTCCGTTGGTGTTTATGGTGTAAAATGACTACCACACCCTTGGAAATGGTGACATATGCCAAACACATGATTTCTTTTTATGGAAAAACTAAGAGATGAAGGCAAATAACATTTTTTTTTTCTTCAAACGTTATGTTTTAATGTTTTAAAGTTAATTCAATTTTTTTATTAATTTCAAAAAGGTTTATAGGTTTTTAAAGGACAAAAAAAAGGTGTATAATGTTTATTTAATGGTAAAGTTAACGGATTGGACCATATGGGCTAACAGTGCTAAATATGGGACTAAATTAGCTAAATTGAAAACACATGGACTAAATTAGCCAACATGGTAAAGCACAAGGACCATTTTGACATTTAAGCCTTTTAATTGAATCCAAATTAAAGTTCAGAAGGGAAACGCTATTTCTTTTGAGAAAAAATGAAAAAAATAATGACATATGAGTTCAAATTCAAAATCTCTCTTATTCAATTTTTTAAGTGTTTGGTTTTGCTAGCTAACTGCTGGAATTTCGTAGGAGCACGTTAAGTTGCGTATCAAAACTAGAGCTTTTATAACAAGGAAATGTGGTAGTTCAAGTATGTGTCAAGTGTATGCTTCTTTCTTATTATAACTTAGCTGAACTACCATACCATATCACATGTATGATAATGATATACGGTACCTGACATTGTATTTGTTGTTGTGAGTAGGTGGGGATGGTGATCAGTTCAAACCTTTTTGGTTTTTCTCCCAAAAAGGTCCTATCCTAATCCTAGGAAGGAAGCAGAACACATACGTAAATGCTATTAGGAAGGAAATGTTAATTCAAGCTTCAGTATCTCTATTTATATCCATGAGTTACTAAGAATGCTTTCTCAGTTACTCTATCTATTTAGACCACTATCAATATCATCCATGATCGCAGTTAGTTGTGAGTGAAAGCTATTTAAAATAACAGAGAGAGATGGGTGATCATCAGAGAGTTCATCCTGCTGGGGATGTGGAAGCGCCAACCACCACTGTGGCTGTGCCTCTGGCAGTGCCACAGCCACAGGGACACCGACACGGTTCATCAATAACAACAACAACAGAGAAAGAAAAGTTTGATAAAGATCAGAAAGAGGAGATTGATCAGCAAGAGCATCACCCTTTACAATTACAAGCACGTAGTAGCCTTTCGGTTAATATCCATGCGAAGAAGCCACCAACAAATTTAAAGAGAAGCACAAGCACATGTTCATGTACTTGTTGGAGCAGGTGCATGTATTGCACAATAGGCATCCTTGTCTTTGTATTCATCATAATAGGAGCCACTGCTGGCATTCTCTACCTTATCTTCCAGCCAAAACTTCCAAATTACTCGGTTGATAGCTTGAAAATAAGCGATCTAAGGCTCAATTTGGACATGACTCTATATGCTAAATTTGACGTGAAGATAACAGCAAATAACCCAAACAAAAAGATCGGAATTCACTACGAGCAAGGTGGCCGGTTGAGCGTGTGGTATACAAACACGAAGCTTTGCCAAGGGACACTGCCAAAGTTTTACCAAGGTCACCAGAACAAAACACTACTCAACGTGGCCTTGACTGGCCAAACGCAGTACGGAAACACTTTGATGAATGCACTGCAACAGCAACAACAAACCGGACGCATCCCCTTGGATCTTAAGGTTGATGCACCCGTAGCAATCCAACTCGGGAGATTGAAGCTCATGAAGGTATGGATCTTGGGGGAATGCTTGTTGGTGGTGGATAGCTTAACTGCTAATAACTTGATTAGCATTAAAGCTAATAATTGTAGCTTTAGATTGAAGCTTTGATTGAATTAATCCGGCATCAAGTCTCTGTTTGTCTGTCTACAATTTTGGAGATGGGATGGGACCTGTTTTAATCCCCTTCCCTTCTCTTTATTGCATTTCTTTATTTCTTTTTTCTTTTTGTTTTTGAGATGGAAGGTTTGAATTTGATTGTTTTCCACATTGCTCTCCTTTTAATCTTGTAGTAAGATGAGAATCCTCGAATGCATGAAAATCACAATACCGTGTGGCTAAAGAAACATCTTATAAAAACTGTTTTACAAACCTACATTATTATAGGGTTTACATGACAGTGGCATGTCCTTCAATAATTTGAGTTTTATATCTAGAAAGATCAGAGAACACACCGTCTCCTAGATGTGCCCAAATGACTGGAACATAAGGGCGCCACAAACCACCAGGCGTTCTGATCAGTTCAAGTCCCAGCTGATCCAGCAGGTCCCGTTTCACAAAAATGCCACCCCCCAAATTCAAGCAGATCTTCAAACCCCTCAATAACCTACAGAGGAAATAATGAATTTTCTTTATTATGTTCTCTCCGGAATAGCTCATCATAGATCAAACCCCAATACAGCAAGAAGTAGCCACTCAGTCATTCCATAAACCATAGCCCATTCCCATATGAAACTTGGGTTCTTCGTTGTATTATTTGCAGGACTCCGATTTCTTGAACTTTCATTAATTCCAAATCATACGAAATTAACTGCCACCCCAGAAAAAATAAAAATAAAAATAAAAATTAACATGCATGTAAAGGGCAGCTATTAAGAAAATCACTTCAAGCTAAACTGGCCTAGGAAATAATCAGAAGGATTTGAAATAATATATGGTATTTACCTTTCATTTCTTCAAGAATCTGTTTACTACTAGCAGCCACAATTATGTGTGAAATTAAATTCAGCCACTTTGCAGACTGAAGGAAACAATTCATCAAAAGTTGCATACCCTTGCAACCAACTAACCATTACTCTCACAAAACTATAGATGTACATTTATTTAGAGGATATTCCTATAATCAGTTTCAACACACTTTTGATGTAAAAGTTAGAATGGATAATGTGTTTGCTTGTTTCTCTTTAAGTGTAAAGGTTGCTATTAATGAATGTAGATACAGATTCAATCACTTCAATTGTTAACGTGGATTAATCATACCTGATATCACCATCCATGGGAGCATGCATCACTTCTTAATCCGAGGACAACATAGAACTAATCACCAGTCAAAGCCCGAGGTCTGTGCTCAATGGTAAACAAGGACATCCCAGTTTGTGAAATTGCTCTCACAAATGCCATATTTGCCGTTACAGTTGGAGCACACCAGTAATCACCAGTACCAAAAACAACCTTATTCTTCAAAGCCAGTTTTCTAGTGGTTGGAAGGTTCATCATGCGTTCAGAAGGACTATCAGGAACAACCCTATACCAGTCCTAAAGGTTATTAGTGCAGGATAATACAAAAAAAAAAAAAAAAAAATTATATATATATTTTTAACCACGATTAACCATAGATATATAAGGGAGCAAAAATCATCAAACAGATCAAACACCTCGAATTTTTTCGGACAGGCTTAACCCTGTTTGGAACTAATGCAGATTGCAGACTAGGGTTGGTTGATCCTCACAAATGTCTACTGTGCTTGTTTCCCTATTTCTACAATTTTTTTCGTTTCCTACATATATAGAAGAAGAAAAAAAACCCTATAGATATGCTTAATGTCCTACACTGAGGGCAACAGAATCTACATACTTTACCAACCTAGGAAGCAAATATGTAAGTGTAATTCTCCAAATGCAATCTAAGAAGGTCACCTAAATCATGAATTCAAGATTAACTCACCAATTAAGTTGAAGCATTCTGCAACCTAAGGCGAATTATATCAGTGAAATTTTTTGAAGTTCTAAGAAATAAGTATACTAGAGACAACACACATGCACAGAAAGCCCAAAAGAACGACAACTACTAACTGAAGGAGGTTGCAAAGGCAGGGCTGCAGGGGCCAGAGGTAGGACATAAGTAACCGTTGGGAGAAATTAACCCTGACAGCAATAAATAAGAAAATTTGGCAAACTTCTGAGGAAACCCAAATTGGCCAAATCTGTCCTCGTCAATGGGGGTTTTATGGTTTTCCCTCCTTCCCAGCAATCATTTACTGTGGGTCAGCTGCTAGTCCCACTAGTCCTCAATGAGCTATTTTTGGTCCTCTGGTAAAAGGTTAAAACTTAAAGGTGAGTAAAAGAGTTTGTTGTGAAGGACATCACTAAACTATTTTGTATTAGAACATCTTTAAATGTGAATCACAAAATAAAATAACCATGTTGCTTTAAATAATTAACTTAAAGAACAACGTCGTACAAAATAAAATAACTATATTACACACAATGCAATTAAAGCAGACCTTGTAGATCATATGCTCAACTTTGACTAGTTTAGTTTAGTTTTTTTTTTTTTTTCCCTCTATAATGTCAGTGTTTATTTCCCTTTGAAATTAATGCAGATAAAAAAAAAAAAAAAGAGGTTAAAAAGAAAAAAAGGTCAAAAACTCACGTAAGACAATTCAGTAACTGACTAGCTCTCAACTTCTCATTGGGCCCTCCACACATCAATACTAACTCTTTGAACTCTGAACGAACACTTTCACAGATTATGCCTCTCTTCCCAGATATTGTGCGACCAATTTCAACAAGAATTGGATTCTGAATTTCAGACATCACCTGGCAGAAGATCAAGAAACCGTACCCTGGATGTTAATGAAAACTAAATCTATTAAAAGGCCAATAATTTTTTTCAAGAAGAAAAAAAAAATGGTTGAAGATAAACAAACCTTGTGAGTCAGCACTGTAGTTATTACCACAAGAAACATTTTAGGAAAAGATTAATCAACAGAATACAGAAGTTCAATGTATTGGGTACCGGTGACTAAAATCTTAAAAGTTGTCATTTTAACGTACCGCCAAGTCTTAATACTTGACTATTTTGCTCGTGGGCCAGGAGGATTTTTTTTTTTGGGGGGGGGGGGGGGGGGGGGGTTTCCACTTGGCTAAACCCTGTTAAAAATATAAAATAAAATTTTCAACCTGGGGCTTTTCACATAAAATTGTTTCCTTGCATGAAAAGGATATTAAA